CAACGAGGTCAACCCACTTCTATAAGTCGAAAGGAGACTGCGACCATACCAGAGGCCACAACATCTTGGTATTCGTTTCTTCAATCAACGTTGAACCTTTGTCTGTTTTTTTAAATATTGGAAATGATATTAACTAAATCAACCATCGTGCTTAACCAACAATTTTTGACAATAAAAGAGCGGTAATAGTCTATCCTTTTATAAATGTTTCTTATTTTTGTATGTTTATTAGAATCAGGCATATTTGGGCTTATTATAGCTATGGTTACAGGACAGAGACTGGAATTTGCAGATCAATTATTTCTAGGACTACGAAGCTTATGTATAGAAGCCGTTTGCCTAGGAATTAGATTGGCCTGAACAGCTATTATCTGTTAACAATTATCGTCCATGCCAAAATTTAATTAGGAATAAAATTAATGACGAAGACTGCTTGGAACGAGATATGGCGGCTAGTACCTTTTTCATGTGCTGATCTTGCCTCTAAACAGGCGAGCAAATTCATTGTAAACTTGAAGTTGTGAAAAGAATGAGTTTAGCGTTCTAGGAGACTGGAAAGACGAGGGTTGGCACGTTTTCATGTGAAGTAAAAGAGATTGTCTACAGGAGCGCAATAGCTTAAGTGTAAGCGAATAAACCGAACAACAACAGGCTGAGGTAAGTCTGTCTTCTTCTCCTGGTTAATTCGGCTCACGAATCCGTTCATGACACATTATCACACGAAATAAAGCTGAATCTATCAAGAAGTTCACAATTGTCAGCAAATGCTATTAAATGATTTTGTTATTTAGACGAACTGTCGTATTGAAATTGATCTTAACATCTGATTCCATTAGTTATGGACATGTATGCTCCCTTTTGTCACTTCTTTGTTCATCGAATGCGTGCCAAGGACGCACCGGAATAAGGAAATAAAGAGACAATCTTCAGGAGAAATCGCCGGAGGTTGCGTCTCTGAGAAACTGAATGAATTAAATTTACAGGTTAGTTTTCTAGTTCGACATAACTTTTCGTTTAGAGAGAAAAGTTAGTTGGAAAGAATCCCTGAAATTGCCTCACTGGAAACCGGAAGGAGGATTGCCGCGGAATGAAGACTGTTGGATTGTGCGAGGAAGCCCTCGGATCCCCATTCCGTGACCTCGATGGATCTGTGCTAAGCTTTTTTCTGTACCGGCATAAC